CGGAATTTGTCCTAACTTTGACATAAAATATCCGATTTAATCAAATACGAGTACGGGTAATACTTGATTCATTAAACCGGGTACGAAAACAAAGATAAATATATACATACCTGTCTCGTACCCGTACTAACTTAAAATTGATAAATATTTAATTGATTTTTTTTATAGAATTTACTTAAAATTTATATAATTTCTTACTCTATTTTTAATTTATATCAAATAAAGTTTAATTAATGTAATTATTATTTTATGTTGAAATTTTTATTTTTATTTTTATATTTTTTATAAAAAATAATATCAAATTATTTTTTGAATAGGTACGAGAATGAAAACGTAAATTTTATAATAAATATGAAGACATGGATGGATATAGAATAAAAAAACATAGATGAGGATGAGTATAGAGAAATCCGTTCCCGCCCTACATCCAAACATCAACTAGCTAACCCCTTAACTAAAGCTTTACCTTGGTTTCATTTTCAACTTGTTTCCAAGTTGGGCAACTATGATATTTTTCATCCAACTTGAGGGGAGTGTTAAATATTAAGTTTGTTTTGTCCACCTGAAATAATTACATTATAGTTTTCTTTTTTTAACTCTTGTTTATTTTCGGATTTGTATATAAATAAAGGGATTCTATCTATTTGAATGATATAGAATATATCTTTCTCTTTTAATCTCTATTGGAATATCCATTAATAAAATTAGTTAGACAATTTTTTTTAACAAAAATTAGTTATAAACAAGTTAGTAAATACTTTATATTAATAATATAACGACTCAAAATAAAATTATTTAAGAACATTATTCTTGCTACATTAAGGGAATACTTTGTAGAAATTTTAAAAAAAAAAAATGTAGAAAGAATGGAAAATTTTGTGGTGTTAAAGTGAAATAAAAGAAATATTTAAAATTAAATCAACTTATTTTGCAATTTTAAATTTATGAAAAATATTTTACAACAAAACTTATCCAAGATTAAATATTTTTTAAAAAATTTACCTCAGTCTGTGTACAAGAAAATGTTATAATAAATTATTTATAAACGTCATTATCAGTATTTTTAACATACTGTCCATATAAATTATTTCGGTTGAACTAGTAGTACTTAATAAATGGGTTGTTAGGGATAATCGTATTAGATAAAGATAAAAACTACTATACTTTAATAACTCTCTTATAAAATAATTTAATTATATCTTATTATAATTAAATATTTTCTTATAAATGTTGGTAATAAACTAATAATCATTTGAGATGTATTCTTTATTTGTTTATCGTGAAAAACTTATTATTATTTTTTTATAATATACTGTATGATTTAAGATAATATGATAACCTTTAAACTTTTAAATTATAATATAGAATAGGTTATTAGTGATAACGTTAATTTATTGTTACATTCAAAGATACATAAGAATATTTTGTTAAATTAAGTTTTTTTCATAAATTTTCTTATTTAAATAATAAAAATCCTCGTATGATAAATATAAATATTAAAATCTTTAAATAATAAATGTGAATGAAACAAATTTTAATTATTTCTAATAATTATGATTTTGATGATTCATGTTTCTTAAGAATAACAATAATATCTTAAAAAGATGCAAGCTTGATTTCTATCAATGAAAAAACTTTGTTTATAAGTAATTTATAAATTATAAGTATCTCTATAAGTACTTATAGAATCTTAAAGTTTATCCTAATTCTGAAGAACTCCTAGAACTTAATTCACCTAAATTTCTTAATACCGAAAAAAAAAATTCTACGAAATTTTTATATTCTTCTACTAGATACTCTCATAAGGGTAAATATGTTAGGCTTGTAAGACCACCTTTAATAGGTATTTCTTAAATATATCTATTAACATAATTTGCCAATTATTAACATTTGTCAATCAAATAAAAAAATCTCATGTTGAACAATTTATTTAATTTAAATCAGTCTTCCAATGTCACATCATATTTAAGCAACCAATAGTAAAGTTATTTGCTTAAATATCTGTATTAATTAAAAATGCGCTCTAATTGCATGTGGTTATTTGCTCTTTTTTTCTTCTTCTATTCTTTTGGTTATTAAGTAGTGTCGTGATCTCTAGAAAAAATGAACCACTTGATCTTTAGAGTTTTTGAATTTGATTAAGAATTTAAGATAAGGTCTTAGTCATATAACATATTTCTTCTCTAATTTGGCTAGTTTTCCCTCTTGCTTTGATTGGTGCAACAATCCTATTAAATATATTAGACATGGTGTGTGTTAGTTGAAAAAGTATAAATATTGTGAATATACAAGGATTGGAATCATGTCTTGAACGTATTTTCGTAATTTAAGTTGTTGGCTTAACAAAATAAACAATTTTTAATCTTGTTTTCCCTCAGATTAATTGGCTCCTAATTAACACACGAATTTTTTGTAACAGTTTGCTGTTGTTGGCTTGCTAACAACCAAGGCTTGTCCTAAGTAGAACCATCAAATATACACAAATAAAATATGGAAGAATATTTCTCACCCTTCCATTTGTTTTAAGATTTTTCTTCCTCTTTCCACAACTTGTTAAATGATATGGCTTGTCTTTTTATCTTTACGTTGTCGTATAGCTTTTGTTGCAACAAAACTTATATATGAAAATATAGTTAGTATTGTTATATTAAATTGATATTTTATCTTAATATTTTTTTGTTGTTTTAATTATTAAAATTGAATAAAATTAGAATAGATGATCTCTCCAAACTTGATTAGTAATCTCGATACTTAAATACTAAATTCCGTTAAATATTTAAAAATAGAATTTTCCCAATTAATTATGATAATATTGTCTTAAATAAAATATACATGTGAGTGGTTTGTAAATATAAAAATCAAGCTTAGAGAAAGTTTCATAGTTGTCTTAAGGGAAGGAAATTGAGAACATTATATTATCTTCTATATATCTCTCAAATTTTACAAGCTGTAATATCACTTTATAAAGTGGAAGAGTACGAGACCTTTTATTTTTCTTATCCAACAAACCAAAAGTACATAAATAGAAACTCTACAAAACTTTTCTTTACTCACTCTACAATTGAAAGTTTGACACTAACTTAACTACACACAACTCCAAATTAAATAATTTCTCCTAATGAAAATCAGTAAACCATGAAAATTCTATTAACTTCAAATCATCTATTATTATTTAACAGAACTTAACAAGAATGCAATAATTTTAGATTGGATAATGGCTTAAATATATTTGGTCAAACGGACACGGTTTTGATTAATCATTATTTGGGTAATTGGTCTTTTTTTTTTCCTTCTTCTTTGTATATATTATGAATTATTATTAATTTGTCTTTATTATCGCCAACAAAATAAACGAATAGAATATTATGGTAAACATCACCGACAAAATTGTTGAGGGCATTTTCTTCTAACAAGCTACCAATCAGGTTTCCCAGAGCCGTTAAATGTAACTCCTCTTTCTCTCTTGCCACGTGTATTAAGAATGACTTTTATATATTCTGTGTGCATTTTTTTTTTTATACATATTATCTATATATAAAGATAATTCGAATAAAATCATTATAAATGTTAAAATTTCCATTCAAGTGTTTAATGTAATACTATAATGTAAAATTGAAGTCGAAATTACTATATAAATTAAAATAATTTAATATCAGTGGATTTATATGCTCTGGCATGCATGTTCTTCTATGCCAACAAAGATTTGCGCGTATGATTTTATTTTAGATTATAAAAAGTCAATCAAGGACTCTAGTTGAATTAGTTTACCAATATATGCAAATTTCTAAAAGTCACATTAAAATATAAGAGATTTTTATAAAAAATTTTTTTACATATTTTATTTTATGCTTAGAATTTGATTTTAGCTCCATAATTTATTCTAATTAAGTTAAATCAATTCTAGATATAATTGGTTGATAACTTTGAGTTGAATAAAAAAATATTATATTAAATTTCTCTCCTAACTTAGTTTTTTTTTTTAAAAAAAAAAACATTTAAATAAAGATCGTATCACTTTAAAATTAATTTAGTCAACCTTATCTGAATACAAACAATAACGTGGCTACTAAACCAATGGTTATTACTACTAAGTGAATCTCCACCTTCACGAATTATTTATGTTTTTGGTATAAGGTCCACGAGCAGTTTATGATTACACGTTTTCAGAAGTGTGTTGGTAAGTTACCTCTAATTAGAACTTGTCACTTTAGATGTTAATATCGTTTAGTAGGCTAAAAGCAAAAGCAAAGTTCTTCAAAATTATTCTGCTACGTAAGCAATAGAAAAGCATGAAAACGCAAAAGAATGCATCTTCTTAATGAAATAATTATCAAGCATAAAAGGAAAGAAGGAAAGCAAGTAAGGAATCAATATTATTTTATCTTGCATCAGTTTAACAATACGTGACAAAAACAGCGAGGAGGGAGAGAGAAATTCAAAATATGAATATGAATGGCAGTGGCAATAGGGCAACCACTACAACCAAGTCTCTCTTGTTACATTAGTTGTAAGTTCAGTCTTGAAAAATCGAACATCGAATTGGTGTTCTCAGATCAGTTCACACAGTTTTGAAATAATATTTAACTAGCAAACATCACATCCAATAAATACTGATTAAAATAATATTTGATTTGACATCATACTTAACTGTGGAAATCACTTCTTACTAATGCTAATTAAAATAATATTTGACCATGTTTAACCAGTAAAAATGGCTTTCTACAAATGCATATAGTCTTTGATGTCTTTAGTTGTGAAATACTGAGTGAATTGGATAAAAAAAAAAAAAAAAAAAAAAAAAAAGCAACTAGTGTCATGAGTGGGACCAACATCAACATCCATGGAAAGGGGTATGATGAATCATGGGACACACGGTTAACAAGGTAACTAAAGAAACAACAACCTTGTGCAGAAGGGTTTTGATGAATGGTGATAATAGGGTGGGTCCCACTGCCCTAACACAAGCACTGTGGTGGGGCTAAACCAGCTGGTCTCTCTTTCATATTCTCTTATCATTGAGACCCTTTGTCCCTTCCCAAGATCTCATTGCCTTTCCCTCCTTTACAGGGGAGAGAGATAGTGCAACCGTAATCTTCAAGTTCTCATCTTTTTGTTTCTTTTTGTTCAGAGACATTGGCCCAGAAGAACTTGCAACATATTTCAGATCTGTCTCTTTGCTTTCACTTCAGGTACTATCATTTCCTATCTTCATTGGACCCCTTTGTTCTCAATTTAAAAAAAAATATTTTTTTTTTGCTATTTTTGCACTTCCCATTTCCACTTTTCTGTGCAAATATCTGTTGATGCCTCTCTATATTTGGCTAAATGTTGCCCGGCTTGTTTAATGTTTAAAGTTCTTCAATTTCTTTCCTTGTTTTGTTTTGGTGAAAATTCTCGTAGTTTAATGACGTGGTGTCCTCATCATTTAATCACCAAGGTGTTGCACAATTTTGACTGGAAGTGCTAATTTGACTACAAATCTGCATTCTCCCTGTTCTTTGCAGTTAAAATGTGGAAGGGGAGATAGTTCAATTGTTAGTTCATACTGTTTGATTCAATGTTATTTAGAGAATTTAGATTTCAATTTATACTTTGGTTTTTTCAGATGATATTTAGATTCCTTTAGGGGTTAGGATTTTGAATTGTTTAAGTTGAGTTAACTTTTCCTTTTTTTCCCCACCCCTTGATGATGAATGTCTGGCAGAAGCCAGAAGCTAATGCCTTGTTTCCTTTTTTTTTTTTTTTTTCTTTCAAGAGCTAAGAGGTTTACATAATTTATGAGACTCCTTCCTTTCAAGTTCTAATTATAATAGCAATTAATAGTATCAGCAGATGCCATTGGATTTCCCATTCAAAGGCAAGCTGAATCCGTTCATTATTTTGGATTGCTCGGCATGATATCTTGAAATTTGCATATTTTGTGTACAAAGGGTCAAAGTGAGGAATGCAAAGAAAATGGGGAGGAAGAGAAATTGGTTTTCTACGGTGAAGAAAGCTCTAAGCCCTGAGTCAAAGGAGAGGAACGATCAGGTAAAGATAAAATTTATAATTAACCTTAGTGCGTGTTTGCTTGCACGTCCTTGATCCATGTTGTATTGTATTTTCATGTCAAAAATAAGAAATTGATGTAGAAGCAAGCCCGAGTAACTTTAAGGGAGGGCTTTAAAGGAGGGAAATGTGAAAATTCACATCTTGAAGCTAGACCAAACAAGCACTCAATTATCCAGGATGTTTCTTACGGTGTTAGTAACTGCTTTTGCAGAAATCAAGTAGATCAAAGAAGAAATGGTTTGGGAAGGAAAAATTGCAGACTTCAGAGTCGCCGTCAGAAACTGATAAAGCACCTCCTCTTCCTCCACCTGAGATTATTTTAACTCATGTTGAGAGTGAAACCAGCCCCGATAACATTGAAGTTGCAACTGCAGTGGACGCTGAGAGACCTGTTCCTGTTGTTGAGACAGTAGCTGCTGAGGTTCATGCCACTACAATTGTTCAGTTTGCCAGTAAACCAACGGATGAAGTGGCAGCAATCAGGATTCAAAAAGCTTTTCGGGGATACTTGGTATGTTTTTGCAATTTTCATTTAAACCAATGTTACTTATTCCATTCATGTATTGTTTTCAGCCTCCCGTTACCATTATATGTTGAATGATTTTACTATAAGGAAAAAACCTCAGTTAGTTACTATAATGATAGTTCGTGTTTTTGGTCTTGTCACGGGTACCTTGAGTCCGTTGGACTAAAGGCTAATCTCACTCGTGATAGTGTGACTATCACTAGTCCAAAGGGTGTTCACACAAGGGAGATATAGGCTCTTGTTTACTGTACCACTAATAGTGGATCAAATTTAAACTCTTTAAATGTGAATCCATACATAACATTGTATACTTATTAAATGTCTTATTTAATTATGCCAAGTTATGAGGCTATATATGGTAAGAAGAAAGCTTCCTGGTTCAATGATAAACTACTTTCGAGCTGAATTTTCTTTTAAAATCATTTAGGCAAGAAGAGCATTGCGGGCTTTAAGGGGCCTTGTCAGGTTGAGATCACTTATGGAAGGGCCAGTGGTAAAACGTCAAGCCATTAGTACCCTCCGTTCTTTGCAGACTTTTGCTCATTTGCAATCTCAGATTCGTTTGAGGAGGCTCAGGATGTTAGAGGAGAATCAAGCTCTACAAAAGCAGCTCTTACTGAAGCACACTAAAGAGCTAGAGAGCATGCGGGTCTGTGTTTCATTTCCCTGATATATTCTAAAATGCTAATCTATTGATACGGAGATAATATTTATTTGAGTTTTAGCATATGGAATTTTGAATGCTTTTAATTTGGTTCAAATTCTCATAACAGATTGGGGAGGAATGGGATGACAGCATCCAATCAAAAGAGCAAGTTGAAGCCAAGTTACTAAGCAAGTATGAGGCTACTATGAGAAGAGAAAGAGCAATGGCTTATTCATTCTCTCATCAGGTTTTCTATTTCTCTTATGAATCTATATCTGTTAGGATAATTAAACAAAGAAATGAGAAAATGATATGAATGCAAGTTTTAGGTGAACTGGAAGATCAGAGGAAAATTGACTTAGTCTGTTATATTCCAGAACAAGAAATGCTAGTAATATACTTTTTGACAATCTCTTGCATACTTTCTTTTATTGGTTAAATTCAAACAGGTCTTACTGGATATGTAGGTGTTGAAAAGTAACCACATGAATTTCAACCAATAAGTAAGCATGTGTTGAAAAGAGTGTTAGATAGCATATTACTAACACTGCTTGTTACAAAGTAATACATACATAGTATGAAGAACTAAAATAAGGACATGGCTACTAGTTTGAGTTCCTTGATATTTTTAACAAATAAAAGTTTGGATTTTGACCTTAAACAAAAAAATTGTGCATGTAAATCTTTACAGCAAAACTGGAAGAACTCGTCAAGATCTATAAACCCAATGTTCATGGATCCAACCAATCCAGCCTGGGGCTGGAGCTGGTTGGAGCGTTGGACGGCAGCCCGGCCATGGGAGAGCCATAGCCTGATGGAGAAAGAGAAGAACGACAATTCATCTGTAAGAAGTTCTAGCCGTGGCATTACCAGTGCTGAAATCAGCAAAGCATTTGCTAAATTTCAGCTTAATTCTGAAAAGCTTTCTCCAACAGCCAGCCAAAATCCAGGCTCACCTAGCTTTGAGTCTCATTCACATTCCCATTCAAATCCTCCCAAGCCTGCTTCTCCAGCAGTTGCTAAGAAACTGAAGAAAGTGAATCCAAAGGACATGTTGGTGATAGATGATGACACCAAAAGCATGGCAAGTGTCCAGTCAGAGCGGCCACCCCGTAGGCACTCCATTGCTGGATCAACAGTGAGAGATGATGAAAGTCTTGCAAGCTCTCCAGCAGTTCCAAGTTACATGGTGCCAACTAAATCTGCCAAAGCTAAGTCCAGGATGCAAAGTCCATCATTAGCTGCAGAAAATGGAACAACCCCAGATAAAGGATCCTCTGGGACTGCAAAGAAACGCCTTAGCTTCCCAGCTTCACCTGCCAGACCAAGGAGGCATTCAGGTCCACCAAAGGTAGAAAGCAACTTCAGTGCAGAAATCACTGTAGGCAATGGTGTGGCTGGTTGAACATGAAAAGGATGGAAAGCAAGCATGTGAAATATCATGGAAAGAATAAAAAAAGTTCATTTGAATTGTCCCTTTTGTTTATTTATTTATCATGTGTATCTTAATCTTATTATCATTTCTTGGAGGCTATTGATTTGGGGGTGAAAACTGTTTTACCTGCTACATTTATCTATTTGTATTGTCATGTATCTACTCACAATTTGTGCTGAGGGGATGAAAGGTGGTTCATGATAGTATTATAGACTAAAGAACAAGTAAGCTGTCAGAATCCTTTCGGAGCTTCCCCAGTTCTGTTACTATTGATTCTTATTTGTTATATAAAATGTATATTTGATTTCATTGTCTCATTTCTTAGATGTTACTTTCAAAAAGTTTGTCTAAACACGCGCTTACTTTGATGTCACGGTTTTAAAAAAGAGGTACTTTTGATTTTGGTCATGTAAATTAGTTATTGTTGTTAGAACAATTAGCTTTGCTTTTTATTAAAAAAATTATGGCTAAAATTAGGAACCTTAAGAGTGACGATTCAAAAGAAAAAAAAAATACACATATAAAAAACGACATCGCTAAAGAATATTCTTTGTATATGTAATCAAACAAATTGAAGGAAGTTATTTCCTATATATATACATAATATTTTTAGATAATTATAAAATTCAATAATATAAATATTAATAAATAGTAATCAATTTATATTATTAGATTTTATAATATCGAATATATACGGTAAATAATTCCCCCGATTTGTTTGATTGCATAAAGAAGGGATAATATTCTGACATATAAGATGTCATTTTTTATATATGCATTTTTGGATTTTTGATGATGTAAAAAGTAATTCATATAAGAGTTTCTATCTTTATTAAATAATCATGCCTCTCATTCCCCTAATTAAGAGAGTGAATAATACATAGGTTATATATGTTTTTAATCCATGAAAAGTCGTTGAGATTTGATTTTGTTCTCTGTAAAATTTTGTTTTTATTTTTTATTCTTTTAAAATTTGTAAATATTATTTTTGGTCTTTGTAAAATATTTTTAATTTTTGTAGAGTGAAATTTTTTTATTTTAATCTCTATATAATATCTATTTTCATATCTCTAAAATTTAAAATATTAATTTTTAACGATGATTTTAATTTAGTTAAATAACATATTTTAAGAACTTATAAAAAAATCAAAAGTGTTATACACTAACTTGATATTATTAAAAATTATACATAATGTCAGGATAATTACTTGACATTTTAATAAATAAATAAATCATTAAAAGATATTATATGATAATAAAAATTAAAAATAATAGTTATAAATTTAAAAAGATGAAAATTAAAGAAAAAATTTACAAGAATCAAAACAACAAAATTTACTTATTTTTTATGGACTAAAAATATATGAGGAGTGTTAGTAGCACACTCTTTAATAGGCATGGCAACGGGGCGGGGGCGGGTTTAATGTTCCCCGCTCCCGCTCCCGAAAATTTAAACTGCCCCCGCCCCCGCCCCCGATACCCGTCGAGGATAAAATCTGGGTCCTCATCCCCGCCCCTGGCGGGGTTCAGGTTTCTCCGCCCCGCCCTCGTCCCCGCTCCTATTTTTTTTTCTTCTTTTTTTCTTTTAATTAAATATGAATAATTTAAAAAAAAAATAAAAGAAAAGTAAAATAATATAAATTTTTACATATAAATATTTCTAATTTTGGTTTATATATATATAAAAATAATTTTTTAATTATATTATTAAGCGG